TGATACTTTTCCCATGATTCTTTGATGAATAGAAAGCTCAACAGAACAGCATTTAGTTGAAATAGACATATTTTGAAACAATGTGGACGTCTTTACTGCCCGTTATGTTAATCCGTGCTGAATGCACATATTTCTTCTTTTTTTTTTAAATTCACACAGACCCCAAAGTTTTGAACTGTAGTGTACCTTTGGTAAACTATTCTGATTTAATGAGCTTGAGACAATTCACAATTTGAATAGTGTCATTCAAGTATAGTAATATTGTTAATATTGTTTAAAGTTTAGTCATCTTAAAAAGACAGGAAAATTGCTTTAATCGTTTTAAACCAAAAAAAAAGACCTTGATACATCCGTACTTAATGCAATTTTTTTTTTTTTTTTTTTGGTATTTCATGTTTGTATGTTATTATTTAATCTAGTGTGTCTCTCTGGTGAAATAGATTTTCATTCTGACGGCTCGGTAAAATAAATAAACCGACACATCTATTCCACTGTCTTTCATTCGAACACAAAGCAGAACAGAAAGGATCTCGACGCGTTCAGTTGTCTTTGGAGTCTCCACTTGCGGAGGGGCTCTGGTGAAGCACATCCACTGTTACACAATAAAACAACGCTAGATGGCGCCACTCACCGCAGGCTCAGCTAGAACCTTTTGTGAAAGTAATGTAATGAAAAATACTGTAATTGTGTCTTATTAGCATGAATATAGTTACAAGCCATTCTAATGCATCATCTCACCCACCTAATCCACCACAACACGCACGTGTTCATTCATTTGTTAGTGAATCCTGAAATTGCCCACATTGTGTGGATCAGCCAGCGTAAAGTTACCCAACAAGGAAAATGGCGTAATAAACATACAAATTATGTCCGAATGAAAATGTAAAATGTAGAGAGGTTTACTCTGAGGGTTCTAGAAAAACATGATAAGCTCATTATAAAGCAATATTGCTTCCTTTTAAATCCCATTCATTCACAGGTGAAGAAACAGTCCTGCGCCGTCGCAGTGTGAAACCAATGGTCGGTTTCGACTACAGGGGCGCATTTGAGCCAGTTACTGCCGAAGTCAGTCTCGCCTCGACACTGCTGTTACAAACTTTCTCGATCTGTCAGGAGTCATGTCGAGTAACAGCGCCGGCGGATTGCTGAGTCTGCAGAAGAGCGTCAAGCAGCTGCGATTTGAAGCAGGAATCCGCAGAATTAAGGTGAGTTTAAGAAAATAAAAGCCAAAAAGATTGGAAATCTTTGCTAACAGGGTGTGACTTGACAAACTTGTTGATCCTGTCCGAACATCCTACTACTTTGTGTAATTATTGTACTGTTTTTAACATGTCTTGATTCATGCGAGAGCTCTTACAACACTCCTAATGCAGCTGAAGCGTAATAAATAATGTTATCTGTTTGCCAGCTTTTACCGGGGCCTGTCTTATATTGTGGCAGGTTGCAATTAGCTTCGTTTTCAGCAGGTGACAGCTTGCTTTTAATGGCTCGCTAACACACGCTGTCATCCAATATTTCAGTACATTTGTGAGGTGTATAATACTCGCAGTTCGACATAAAAGCCTCCCAACTTTTCGTGTTTGAAGCCGCATTTGAAGGTAAACTCTGCAGGCAGTAGCACACAGTGCAGCTCTTTGTTGATTGTGAGTGAGTGAGTGAGTGTGTGACACAGTGCCACATTTGTTGGCCGGGAAAATCCAAATCTATATTAGTTCCCACTGGCCCCAAACACGCTATTTTAAAAACAACTCAAGGCTTTGTGTGTTGTTATTGAGTTTATCATGAATCAAATAAACTCTGTAACTTCTGACCGCGTGATTGCTAGGACTATGTGATAACCAATAGAGTCTTTATTGCGCCACAAACCCCTTTTATCTGTATATTCATGCATCTACATGAAGTGTTCAGATAAAATTAAAGTTTTCTAAAATTAGCATTTTTTCCCCCTCAGGCTCCTATGTTTATGTTTAGTAATTGCAATGAATAGGTTATTTTCATTGCCATTAAAGTGAAATAACTGAACATAAACATAGGAGCCTGAGAAAAATTATGGCACTTAATACCTCTTCACATGTCTACTTATGTGTTTGTCTGTTTATGTGTCTGTCTGTATTTTATTCAATCTGTCCTCCTCTAGGTTTCTCAAGCTGCGGCTGAGCTGAAGGCATTCTGCTTGCAAAATGCCCACAAGGACCCTCTCCTCATGGGGGTGCCATCAAGCGACAACCCCTTTCGACCACCCAAATCATGTGCGCTCTTCTGAGGTACCAACAATCAGCTCAGTGTTACTTTTTTCTTTGAAATGTCCTGTTGAAGGGAATCATAAACAGAAAGGTGAACCTCTATCTCTCTCTCTCTCTCTTCCCCCTAAAGGAGTCGTGAAGAATGTGGAGAAACTTCTGAACATTCCTCTTTCACTCGAATGTTTTCACTACACGACCCTCAGATCATCCCCTTTACATTACAGCAGAGCTGGTTATCATCACTACTATTACACTAAATTGTTTAATTTTGTAAGCTGCATTGAGACTTGAAGTCTTTCACGTTCGGTGATGTGAGTTATGAGGAAAACCTCTGAGAAGTGATTTAAAAGTGTTTCATTTGTATACTGTTAAATAAGGACATGGTAGTGCAAACGTGACACTAGTAGGAGGAAATTAAAGTGTTTAGTTGGTCAAACAGTCCACTGGAAAGTGATGACAAATATGCAAAAATAATTGAAGCATTTTTATTTTTTTTACTGTGTAGCCAAGTCAATTTGAATACCAGCCTTACACAGAAAAATTTCAAAACGCTTTCTTGTTGTAATGTGTTTAGTTTAGGATGAAACACTGAATTTCTGTGTTATTGATACAATTAGGCTTATATACATGGACTGTTGTTGCCACGAAACTCATGTATTTAAGCTAATTTAATTGTATTAACCACATAGCTCTATTGAAGGAGGGAGATGTCTTGAATCTCAGGTTCTTTTTGATTAAGATCGTTGCTGTGTGTTTCTGATATTAATTCACTTTTCTGAATACCGAATGAGGTACTACCTTTTATTCAAATGTATTTTCTCTAATCTAGTGGGTAAAGGTTTCTGCATAATTTGGACATTTCTTCAATGTTATAGTGTTAACACAAGACACGAGTGCAGAATTATATCTGTGTTTTTAGTGATATTTGCTGGTGAAAGGGTGCTGCCTGCCTGTTATGCTTTTACACTAAGAATTTGAACACCAAATGACTGAGCGTATCAGCTGGCCTGTTTTTGCATGTACTCTCAGCCCTCACATGCTTACTAATCTCATCTTATATCTGTACTGTATCTTTATCAGTCAACCACTGGACATTCATGCAAATGTCATTTTTACTGCTGTCCTGCATTGATAATAACTTTTTCAGTCTGTTTACCTCATGTATGTCTTGCGTTTTAAGTTTGATTGTGCCTACAAGAGCAACATCTGATTTATTTGCAGCAAGATACCTAGCCTATATACTTTTCCTTACAAAACTGAATCAAGATGTTGTTGGTAAATAAGATGTCATTGATAAATAAATTAAAATGACTGAGCCTGAAAAGCTTCTTACACTTTTTGAACAAGATCCCAGTTTAAAAAATGTTTGTGTGATTATTAACAATAAGAGCAATAAATGCAACAATTATGATGGCAACTACTATGGTGTATGTTTGTAACAGAGTTATTATTGTTGGCTAATGCTAAAACCATCAAAACATTTTTGTTGTTTTGTAGGTAAAAAACTTCAACTAAACAAACATTTTTTTGGCTTGGAAAATAACAAAGTTTGAGTTGAAGCACTGAAATTACTGACTAAAAACAGAAAGAAAAACCTGAGCTAAGTAAAAATTCCAGTACAAATACTAGAATTAAAATGAAAACATGCGCATACATATAATCCAACATACAAAGCTAGTAATAAAAAACTATAATAGTTTATCTCCAGTAGCACCAACATACACCAAACTTTTTGTTCCAAACTAGTTATATTCCTATCTGTATTAAGGTTTTTACAGAGGTATTTATTTATATATAATTCACCTGATTTGTTCCTTTTTCCCCCTGGGTGTTGAATGTATTTTCTGATTTATGGCGTTATAAAAAAGGTATCCAAAATGCCCTCTGTAAAAACGTTTACCTTTTAATATGTCAACAAAATGAAACAAGAATTTTGAACCTGGCTTTATTCAATATTCAGATTTCTGTTCTGGAAATGTATGTAAATTAGCGTACATTCAATTAGATAACGCCTTATCGGCATATTTAAACAACATTTCAGAAATCTTCCCATACAAAACAATTGTGTTATTGTACTGTGACAATCATATGTGACCCTGGAGCACAAAAGCAGTCTTAAGTCGCTGGGGGACATTTGTAGCAATAGCCAAAAATATATTGTATGGGTCAAAATTATAGATTTTTCTTTTATGCCAAAAATCATTAGGATATTAAGTAAAGATCATGTTCCATGAAGATATTTAGTAAATTTCCTACCGTAAATATATCAAAACTTAATTTTTGATTAGTAATATGCATTACTAAGAACTTCATTTGGACAACTTTAAAGGTGATTTTCTCAGTATTTAGATTTTTTTGCACCCTCAGATTCCAGATCTTCAAATAGTTGTATCTCCGACCAAATATTGTCCTATCCTAACAAACCATACATCAATGGAAAGCTTATTATTCAGCTTTCAGATTATGTATAGATCTCAATTTCAAAAAATGTACCCTTATGACTGGTTTTGTGCTCCAATGTCACATATTGGTATGTATTGGTGACTTCTATAAGACAAAGTTAATTTTTACCATTCACTTGTGTTGTCTCTTCTTCTTCACATTGCCTCCTGTAGCCTACAATAAGTTTTCCAACCCACACATTTAATACATTTGTATTAGTGTACTCAAGATACACCATGCCTTTTCTTAGCAGCCCATATCATGTCTTGAAATTGAACTACAGCTGGGGAAAAAGCGAGATGTGGCCATGTGGAGGCAGTAGTAAGTCAGGCCTAGCTTGACCAGTGACTCCAGGCGAGATCTGAGGCGCTGAGCTGCTGTCTGTCTCTGCCCAGATCGAAGATGGCGGTGTCGGTGTTCCCAGGCGTGCGCCTCCTCTCCATCGGAGACGCCAACGGAGACATACAGCGACATTCAGAGCAGCAGCCTCTGCGGCTAGAAATCAAAATCAACCAGGACGTGGCTCTCATAAGCCTCTCGAACAGTGAGTAGATGCTGGCTTTTAAACACTTTGCGTCCGGCCTCAGTTGAGCGGTGTATCCTAGCTTAGCCTAGTGAGAGGTCTGTGCGTGCGGCATGTGCGTGCGTCGCGCCGCCTGGTCACCGGGACACCGGCGGCTTTTGAGTTATGATCCCAAATGCGGCCCATTCACCCCTGCATGCTTTCTAAAAGATGTGAAATTGCCGGAGCCAGGGGTTTTGTTTCAACGCATGCCAGCACAAACCACGTTGATCGTAGCATGTTAGCATCCGTAAACACTTTCGTATTGTGTTAAGCTGCTTATAGTTAGCTAACGTTACTATCCAGCTAAAACGCACGGCTGTCCAGCACTGAATGTGCTTCTACAGATAGAAATATAACGTTACATGCGTGAGGTTTCTTTTAAGGTTTTCATCCAGACTTTTAGCAGGACAGTTAGGAAGGGCTTCGGATATAATGTGCATTGGCGCCTATAAAGTTAGCCGCAGTCTGAACCTTCACGATTGAGCTTCAGAAAGTGTTATAGAAACGTGTTTGTTTTTGTGTTGCGCGGGGTCTTAACTGCGTAAACATGTGATTTGTCTGTTGAAATCGTTTTAACCTGGTTGGTTGATGGGCTGAATGGATGCTGAGTTTACTTGATTGATTGCGCAGTTCTGCGCCACCTCTCTACTTTTACTATAATGTTACCGGTTTATTTTTCTCAAAGTGCAGAAAGCATTGCTAAAGTAATGTGAAATTACGCAGAGGTTTCTTGTGTGCAGCACCGCTTGGGTATTCATCTTTGTTCTGCGGGGAACAATAGCGGGTCCCCCGCCTCGATCCTTTTCTCCAGTGTCCCGCCTGTTCATTCAGCACTCAGGGCTTTTGTTTGGAGCCTCATGCTGCCGATGTCCCGTGCATGAGATGAATGTCTTACTGAAACAGATGCGCGACCCACATCGCATTTGAGAAGTTTGTATTGCTCGAGCCACAAATGCCACATCATTTGTTATTTTATTATTTAGTCGAAAGCCCAAGTTTATTCATTGAAATTCACGTGCGTGTGTCAGAGTGATATTTTGCACGGTTTGATGAATTTACGCACGAGAGAGAGAGTGTTCTTACATATTTATTGTTGCGCAAACATTAAGATCTAGTAAAGGTGCTAAAAGTTAAATTATTTTTTACAAATAAATTGACACTTCGTGGAAATATTAAAATGATTTACACTTGTGTTGGATTAGGAATTAGGGCCCGTCTTTAATTTTTACGTGTTTTTGTGCGTCCTGCGGTGTTGACGTCACATGGATGACCTTGTTGTGCAGTTGACAAGGTTGCTAATGTTAGCAATAATATTAATAGTAATAACTGTCTTTACTGCCTGCCTGGAGTGCTTTAAGCCAATGTTCAATGTGCTTTACAACGCACAAACAACAAAAAGTCAACAAAACATGTATCAGCATGTGTGAAATTCATTGTACCAAACGAAAATGAGCGTGGGTTTGCCAAATAAAATAAATTACTATTATACTGTATGTTAGCCAGTAAAAACATACTTAGTTTACCTGTCTTTTAGGATGTTTTAGGAGAGCAAAGCCTTCAGTTATGAACAGTAGATGCCAAGCATCACTCTAAAACTCAGATTTCCGTGGCCTTATTCCCCTGCCCTCTGTTTAAGAGGTACTTTCTTGAGCTGCTGTAGAAACTGTACTTGTTTTCTGCTCAATTATATAAATGAATACCAGCCTAATCTGTCTGTGGAAAGCTTGACTTAACCCTACAACAGCGCAAGGTTGCTAATGTTAGCAATAATATTAATAGTAATAACTGTCTTTACTGCCTGCCTGGAGTGCTTTAAGCCAATGTTCAATGTGCTTTACAACGCACAAACAACAAAAAGTCAACAAAACATGTATCAGCATGTGTGAAATTCATTGTACCAAACGAAAATGAGCGTGGGTTGGCCAAATAAAATAAATTACTATTATACTGTATGTTAGCCAGTAAAAACATACTTAGTTTACCTGTCTTTTAGGATGTTTTAGGAGAGCAAAGCATTCAGTTATGAACAGTAGATGCCAAGCATCACTCTAAAACTCAGATTTCCGTGGCCTTATTCCCCTGCCCTCTGTTTAAGAGGTACTTTCTTGAGCTGCTGTAGAAACTGTACTTGTTTTCTGCTCAATTATATAAATGAATACCAGCCTAATCTGTCTGTGGAAAGCTTGACTTAACCCTACAACAGCTGGGCAAATAGATGACAAAAGGGCCTTTCGCACCGCGGGAACCTTTTCATAGTACCAGAACTAATTGTGGAACTACCCACTTTTTGGTGTTTTTGCACTGCGGGAACTGGGTGCGGTTTTAGTACCAGACTGCCATTTTTCGAGAACCAAATTAGCTCCTACTCCAGAGCAGGGTCTAACCAGCACAACTGGTACTAATCGTGACGTAAGTAGACATTGATTGGCCAAACGTGTATGAAAACACCCTCACCCGCCATGATTTAAAACGCTGTGTAAACATACTGTAAACATGTCAACTTATTTCGCAAGTATGGAGAACAGCGATAGATGGACGGACGCTGAAGTGCTGGCACTTGTAGCAAATGTAGCACTGCCAGCTGTCGGAGGAGATTCTTAGTCCTCCTTTCCGTTCTTTCAATCGCTTTATGTATACGTCGACTTTCCATGTCCATTATTGTGAAACCCGCGAGACACAACAAAAACAGCTCCGATCACAGCGTCCTCCATCCTCCTGTTGTTAATGTTGTTCTTCTTTGTTTGTTGTTGAACGCCGCGCACAAATTATGTCACTGTCGACCGGCTTACAGCACTTATTAGTACACACTCTCGGTGAGAATGCAACCCTTTAAATGGTACTGGGAAATAGGTCGCGCAAAGTCGTCCCAGTACTTTAGTACCGTACATTTAGTTCTAGAACTAAAGCGGTGCAAAAGGCCTTATTATCCCTCATCCTGGCTTCACCATTTACTGTTGCAGTGGTTAGAAGGCCATCTTATTGTTTATGAACAGGTCTAGCTTATTTGATTTGCTTGATTTATGTATAGGTGCTAGTAACCTTTAAGGACATAGTGTAAAGCTGAAATACAGCTTTAAATTGGTAAATATAAAGTATGACTATTTTTCTTTGTATGCACTAAATACATTTTGTATTTTATTTTTTTTTATGTTTATGAGGTAAGTCTTATTTTGTGCATATAAAGAACATCAACAGGGTCCAGTGTTGCTTTGGACCCCATTGACTTCCACTGTATGGACAGAAACTGTTGAAACATTCTTCAAAAGAAAGAAATGTATTCAGTTTTTCTTCAATGAAAATTGTAAACAATGGGATAATACAAAAAAAAAACATTGATCTGTTTTAGGGTGAGGCTTATTAACATCCATGCATTTGCTTTCCTCCACAGATGAGGAGACGTGTGTCTTTAAGTGTTCAGTATCACGAGAGACAGAATGCAGTCGTGTTGGGAAGCAGTCCTTCATCATTACGCTGGGCTGTAACAGTGTCCTCCTGCAGTTTGCATCTCCAGCAGGTAAAACTCACCTTCTTTTACAGGCACATCAGGCTTTACGGTAATTTAGCAGTTTGCTGAGAGACATTCAGACAAGCAAAGCATATTATGATGGACTGTGATGTCCATTAGGACTCTTTTCAGTTTCACTCTTTCACTTTTCAGTTGCCTCTAATGAAAATGAAGTGAAACAAGTTTTAGTGTTAGAATTTTAATCAAAGATAAATCTTTTTTTTTTCTTTTCTCACCATGAATATAGCCATGGTAGCTGGCATGCTGTTTAACTATCAACAGACAAACATTCAGATAAGCACGGCTGCAGTCACTCATTGAGTACAAACTTTTCATTCAAATGACTGTGGGCAAACCTGAATGAAGAGATGGTCCTGAAGCTTGAAATCTCTTAATGTATTCACTGGTGCTGTGTTTGCCAGATTTCTCGTCGTTCTATAACCTCCTGAAGAATTGCCGTGGACATGGGGGTGAACACTCAGTCTTCAGTGACAGGACGGAGGAGTCCTCCGCTGTACAGTATTTCCAGGTGTGTTTGGCTTCTAATTAACATGCTTAAACAAAACACATTGACATTTGACAAACCAGTTTTATTCTTGTCTTGCAACCTTAAATGGGTGGTTCACTGGGTTTTTTCTAGGTTTGATTGTGTTTATGGGGTGCAGTCTAACATGTGTTAGTGCTTTGTTTAAAAAAAAAAACGCATTATTTTTCACATAATTTACCTTTATTCCACACCGCTCTGTCCCTTCTCTGAGAAACGGGCTGATCTTTTCCTGTTTTTATGAAGCCCCGCCCTCAGAAATAGGAGATGGGCTCTGATTGGTTAGCTAGCCCAGTGTGTTGTGATTGGCTAAACCACCTAGTGCGCGCAGGATTGAGAACCGCTGCTTTAGAACATTGATTTTGAAACTTGTGAATCCATTAGAATCGTTAGAATCCAGAATCGCGATTCATATATGAATAGATTTTTACCTGCTCCTCTAGTTTTCTCTTCCTCTTCTCTAAAGCAGCGCAGCATGGCCTCGCCCCCTTTGCTGTCTTTTCCCGAGGGCGGGGTTTATCTGGGTTTGTGATGTCACAAACCCGGGAAGTAACTTGTTGTAGTCCCTACCAGACGTTTTTGTAGGCATTAAACTGACAGAATTTTAAAAGACGAGATCTCCGTTTGCGTTGAACTTTCAGCTTCGTAACATTGCAGATATTGTTTATGCTCAAACAGCAACATTACACACTAACTAACATTAAAAAAGTGAAATTGCAATGAACCACCCTTTTAAGAGATATTTTAAATGTTTTAAAGGTATCCAGAGTACCCTTTATTTCTAATGGAGAAATTTGTCTTGTAGCATCAATAGAAGTGGCATAATATGAATGCCCTCTTTCTTTTTTTTTTTCTTCAGTTTTATGGCTACCTCTCTCAACAACAAAACATGATGCAGGATTATGTGCGAACTGGAACATATCAACGGGCTATCCTCCAGAATCATACCGACTTCAAGGATAAAGTACTGTTATTTCTCTTGTTGATACATCTGTTACTGTATAGATTTGAAGGTTGTGTATTTGTAGATAGCATGAAGTAGAGTAGTTTCAGAATTGCTTTCTCTGTGCTTATTGTAGCATTTCTTGTTCTCCATTAAAATAAAAACAAACTCATTAGTCATGCATTTTGGCTATAATGACCTTTAGCTTTGATGTTGTCCAGACCAAAATATCTAAAACTGAAACAGTTGACTTTTTATAATTAACCTTTTTCCACTTCCTGTAAAAAGGTTATTCCTTGTGAATGCTTCTCTGAATGAACTGCTATTAAATTAAACCTGCATTTTGGACCTGGTTGTGTCATATCATGTGATTCTTGTTCTCATCCTTCCCTGTCTGTCCTGTCTGTTTCAGGTGGTGCTGGATGTAGGCTGTGGCTCTGGGATTCTGTCATTTTTCGCTGCTCAGGCTGGTGCTCGTAAAGTTTATGCTGTGGAGGCCAGTACCATGGCTCAACATGCAGAGGTATGACAGATTTCTCAATCACTAACATGTACTACTGTTCAAAGGTTTGGGTCAGTAAGATTTTTTCAATGATTTTAAAAGAAGTCTTTTATGCTCACCAAGGCTGCATTTATATGATCAATCAAACAGTAAAGTTGTTAAATATTACAATTTAAAATAACTGTTTCCTATTTGAATATATACTAAAACCAGTCTTCAGTATCACATGATCCTTCAGAAATCATTCTAATATGCTCATTTGTAGCTTTTCTTACTATCAATGTTGTAAACAGTTGTGCTGCCTTATATTTTGTGGGAAAAGTTTTTTTTTTCTTTTTAAGGATTCTTTGAATAAAAACGTAACATGCCGTATTTACAGTGACTTTTAATTCACTGCATCCTTGCTATTAATTTATTTCCAAAATAATCTCACTGACCCCAAACTTTTGAATGGTAGTGTCTATTTCACAAGTATGTAGGGTATATTTCACATGTAAAATCACATTTAATCTTTTATAAATATGCAGGTAATTGAGTGATGTTGGATATCTGTACCAAAAAACTAAGATATGAGTGATAGCAAACTTTTATATTTATAATTGTTGGATTTTTTTTAAATTCCTCTCCTATAAAAAGACCTGAATGCTTGACAAATAGATTTAGTATTGATGCCAAGAAGCTGGTATTGTGCCAAATGCAGAATTTCGTAATAAGATAAGAAGATGTAATATGATGGCTTTTGGCATTGACTAATTGAACGTCATGCTAAGTAGTAGTAGTAATAATGCTAATGATTGTGTGTCCACAGGTTCTTGTGAACAGTAACAGGCTGTCAGAGCGTGTGGTGGTGATTCCTGGGAAAGTGGAGGAAGTTTCCCTATCTGAGCAGGTGGACATAATAATCTCTGAACCCATGGGCTACATGCTGTTCAACGAAAGGATGCTGGAGAGCTACCTGCATGCCAAAAAGTTCCTCAAGCCCAACGGTACAAAGTTTTTTTCAGTAAAAGCAACCGAACAACAAAAGACTAATGTATACATAGTGTATCAATATATCTTTACATATCACACCTCTGTTATCTCAGGCAAAATGTTTCCCACAATCGGAGACGTGCACCTCGCCCCTTTCACAGATGAGCAGCTTTATATGGAGCAGTTTACAAAGGCCAATTTCTGGTGAGTTTATTAAAAAGATGATATAAGGACATCGGGTGGTTGGGGGAGAGTAAAGATGCAGAATGTAGAACGAGTCTGAGTAAACAAGCAGGCCGTCATTTAACGGGTAGCAGATAATAGTCTCAAAGTCATTTAAGAGAGTAGCAGAAGTTGTAACTCTGGATCATTTATTTTGTGCTTATGCTTACAAAACTGAATCTTTCAGGTACCAGCCATCTTTCCATGGGGTGGATCTGTCTGCGCTGAGAGGAGCTGCAGTAGATGAATACTTCAGACAGCCGATTGTGGTGAGAAATGGGAGGGAATGACTGGCGGATTGAGTGTGTGCAAGTTAATTCATAAGTACATGCTCGCTTTTTAGAGTTAGCCACAGCTTGGAAAGTTCTTAAAGGGCTAGTTCACCCAAAAATGAAAATTAGCTCATGAATACCTCAAGGCATCTTAGGTGTATATGACTTTCTTTTCCCAAATGAATCCAATCGAAGTTATATAAAAAAATTGTCTTTGATCTTCCAAGCTGTTTAACCTGTTGAGCGGTACGGTCCCACATATGGGATTTTTATTTCCGTGCCCCTGGGAGTACGGTCCCACATACGGGATTTAGAATGTTCAATGACGTCACATAACTGCCAAATTCAAACTGCATTTTCATGCTGCACTTGTCATATAATCACAACTATGCAGTGTTTTTAACCACATAATGTTTATTTTAGGTTTCAGACATATAAGTAGTAAAACAATACACACGGATGTTTATGGAAGCAGCAATATAACAATCCATTCACAAATAATTTGCAGACGTGTTTTATTAAAGGGGTCATATGATGCTTTTTTAAAGATCATCGGGATTTAGAATGTTCAATGACGTCACATAACTGCCAAATTCAAACTGCATTTTCATGCTGCACTTGTCATATAATCACAACTATGCAGTGTTTTTAACCACATAATGTTTATTTTAGGTTTCAGACATATAAGTAGTAAAACAATACACACGGATGTTTATGGAAGCAGCAATATAACAATCCATTCACAAATAATTTGCAGACGTGTTTTATTAAAGGGGTCATATGATGCTTTTTTAAAGCGCGCGCACACACACACACACACACACGATGCGCAAAGCTCCGCATTACCTCCTCTCCTAGGTTCACGAAACGGTCATCCATAAAATGCATTGCTGTTCTGTTGTAAGTAATTTTAAAGATTCCTAAATGCATCTACTTCTGGAAGCCCAAATAAAGTGCTTTTGCTTTCGCCTAGAAACACACAGCGTCTCCCTGACTTGGCTGCTTCAACACTAACTGCGGTTACTGAAACCACGCCTTCTTTCTTTGCGTGCACATTTGGGTGGCATTATGCTAATATTTCCACATAGTGAGGTAGATATGTGGGGGCGTGTTAGAACGAGCCGTTTTAGGGGGGCGTGGCAGAGTCTTAATTTTGATAAAGAATATCTCTTTGGTTTTGAGACTTTAGTCTTTGCAACTTCAGGTATCTTATCTATTCACAATCAGCTTGTAACACTCCAAAGAGAAAGGAAAACTTGAAATCGCATCATATGACCCCTTTAATATCAGATACATATAGTGTAAGTACCTATAAAGTTCACTCTATTCTTCTCCCAGTTCACCGCCACTTATTTGCATGTATTTCGGGAGAAATTGATGAATTCACATGCTGTAAATCCAACTGACAGGACTCTCTGAACTGCAGTGCGAACAAACATGGCGGCACCCGTCTCACGTTACAGATCACAATCAAGACCATTTAGAAAGGTTTTTAAATGACAAAACGCACTAATTTATACACATTTGTGAATGGGAATATCAGATTGTTCATGACATGGTAAGCAAGTTTATGAATATTTTGAATAAAAAAAGGAAAAACGAAATAAAAGCGATCCGTCTGTCATACAGTGTTATTGTGGCCGCGGTGTGTCACCTGACAAGCATGACGCATCGCCAGGGAAACATTCTAAAATAACGGTCACCTAAAAAAAAAAAAAAGACTCACTCTGGGGGGGACCACTAGAATATTTTAAACTCACCACTGAAAGGGTCAATGGCAGTCAGCGGGTGTTGCAGTTCATCAGTCCAAAAGAAGTGAAATAAAGCGCATCCTTCCATAATAAAAAGTGTCTCACATGGCTCCGGGGGGTGAATAAAGGCCTCCTGTAGCGAATCAATGCATTTTTGTAAGAAAAATATTCATATTCAAAACGTAATAATCACTTTAATGTAGCTTGCGCTCACTGTTGTACGCGGAAGCAGCTCTGGGCGGATGACGTATGAGGTCGGCATAGCGCATGCGCCGCTCAGAAGTGACGCACACGGAAGCGCAGGGGAGAGATCAAAACAAAACAACGGTCACTAATTAGAAGTACAAAACAAGGATTTGTAAAGAAGAATGTCAGAGGATTTCGATATAAGCCAAGAGGAGACTGGTTTTCCTTTGCTAAAGTAAGGAAACTTTACTTCCTTTGCTCCTGTTAACAAACGTTGGTTTTCACGAGACTCACCGGCGCATGCGCAACGCTGCCCTCATACGTAAATTGCTTCCAGTGTACAACAGTGAGCGCAAGCTACATTAAAGTGATTATTACGTTTTGAATATGGATATTTTTCTTACAAAAATGCATTGATTCGCTACAGGAGGACTTTATTCACCCCCCGGAGCCATGTGAGGCACTTTTTATTATGAATGGATGTGCTTTATTTCACTTCTTTTGGACTGATACATGCAACACCCGCTGACTGCCATTAAACAGCTTGAAAGATCAAAGACAATTTTTAATATAACTCCTGACTGCATTCGTCTGAAAGAAGAAAGTCATATACACCTAGGATGACTTGAGGGTGAGTAAATAATGGGCTAATTTTCTTTTTTTTTGTAAACTATCCCTTTAAATCAGAAAACCAATAAACACATGGGCTTGTGTTTGTGCCTTCAGAGGAAAGAGTACACTGAAAGATAGTGTGTGAAGTATGAAGGTAACTGGAGATTTGTCTCCTCACTGGTTATAGATGAGCTGTGAGGGCCTGGGGGTAAATACGGACAGGATTGGGTTACGAACTTGAGCCCAAATGAGAACGGTGAGGATGTTTCTGGGAAATGGAGAAAGGCAGCAAGGTTCATGGATTAGGAAAATGGATTCAGTGGCAGTTTCCTATAGGAGACTCAAGTGAAGTATGTATGCTCACATTTGTGCCCATGATGAAAGGCTTTACTTCGTGGTCCGGGTTTCTGAGCTCACTGTTTGTGTGTGGTCAGAGGGTATGCAATGAATTTAGATCTATCAAGGGAGGTTTATGAAGCACATCTTTATGTGCACAAGAACTCTCTACATGTGTAATTTTGGTTGTTGATTTTCGTTTAGGATCCACAGTGTTTTTGATATCCGTCAGAGCTACTTTTTCTACATTTGTTCACTCAAGAAGCCTATTAAGTTGTCGATTGTGTGCTTGATTTTCAGTCCATGAATTTTCAGACATCATAATTGTAGTTTACAGTCTGTGTGTGTGTGTGGTTTATGTCCAGCAGTAGTCAGCTGTTCAGGCATTTGCTGTGCCTGTAATGGTGTTACACTGCTGGGACAGTGACCTGCTGTGGTCTGGCTCCAGGGGGCGCTGTTATAGCACCCTTTATCAAGACCGTTAATAATTTCGTTCGTTTTATCATCAGTTCAAGCCCGAAAGGGTAACAGAGTCGTGTGACAGACACAGTGATGGTGCAGTACACAAGCCGCGGTTAAGACAGCTGACGTGCTATGATTTCTGACAGGCAGTTCACTCTC